TGTTTTTTTGAGACAAGGTCACACTGCTGCTCAAGTGGAGGATATAGAGATCAAAGGGGGAACATGTACTATGTTCTGGTACTAGCAACTGGAAGAGCCCTGGCATGCAGTGCCTGCTCTCCTCTCCAGCTTCTGCTCAGTTGCCTCTGGTTTCGCAGCCAATAGCTTTCTTTTTGTTGCTATTATTAGTTTTTCTGTTTGTCTTGGGCAATGCAGTTTCCCCCTCCCTTTGTCATACCTTTCTCCTCTAGCCTCACCTCTCTCTAGACCTAGAGTGTGCTTCTTGAGTAAGGTTTCAAAGAAAAACATTCAAAAACATTCAGCAGTTAAGAGCACTGGCTGCTCTTGCAGAGGGCCGGGGTTCAGTTCCCAGCACCATGTGGTGGATCACAACCACCTGCAACTCCAGTTCTGGGGGATCTGATGCCCTTTTCTAGTCTCCATGAGCTGCTGTACTCCTGTATTATACATGTACACACACACACACACACACACACACACACACACACACACACACACACACTAAAGAGAGCCAATAGGGAAATTTTCTAGGCCACCCAATCCTGCTACAAATAAATGGGTCAAATCATTTTTCAGTTTCTTGTCAATCTTTATTTTGTAGACAATTTTTCCTAGCTTAAAGATACCCCTGGATAAGGGTGACAAAACCAAAACAGGTTGAACAATTTTGCTTTTTTCATACATCTATGTTACATCATCTGACTCATGAATTTGTGACAGATGCTCCCCTTGTCATTCTAAATATAGATTAAAGGGTGCCTTTAGTTGTCCTTAACTTATTTTTGGTAAGGCCCAGCCCATCCTAGCTATAATCTTCCTCACATTTTTCATGCAAATCTGTGCCACCATTCTGTATCTGCCCTTGATTGAACGGCCCTTTCTCTAAGTGAGAATATTGGGTTTGGAGGAACTCATTAACTCTTTCCTATGGCTTCTTCAACCCTGTGATCTGTCATATTCTTAAAAGCAAGAACTATTTCTTATATTCTTTTCTTGATGGCATCTCCATTGTAAAATCTTATTTTTGTAGGGGTGGGCTGCGGAGGACTGAACCTAGAGCCCCATGCCATGGGGGTGTTCTACCACCAAGCTGTGACTTCACTCTCCGAGTACATTGAACTCTTAGTACCACACTTACTTTTATTACATGAACTAAAGTCACTTTTTAGTGTTTTTGTTTAAAAGTATCTTTGTGGCGAGTGCTTTCAATCCCAGCATTTGGGAGACAGGCAGATGGAGGCCAACCTGGTCTACATACTGAGTTCCAGGCCAACCAGGGATACATAGTGAGATCTTTTCTCAAAAAATATCTAAAAAAAAAAAAAAAAAAAAAAAAAAAAAAAAAAAAAAAAAACTTATCTATCAAACGTAAGGAGATACATTTAAAAAAAAAAACCTTAACAAGTCCTGGATATTAAAGCTGATTATACATTTATTACTGTTTTTGAAGTACTTAATAGCTGGAAATTCTGATTTCTGTCTGCTATATGTGAAGCAATGTGTGGAGTGACAGTTTACAGCTTTTAAAGGGCAGAGGGAGGTCCATTTCTGTGTGGCTGAGGCAAGCCAGAGCTACGTTCCCTGTCTCCAAAAATTGTTCTCTCTGTGTGCATGTATGCATTCCCGTGTTGTAGACAGAACTCACAATTTAATTGAACCTACAGATATATTAGAGCATAGATGAGCTATTCATGGGCAAAAAGATTGGTAAGACATATATGAGGAATAAAAACTTGCATTTATTTATATAGTGTGTGTGTGTGTGTGTGTGTGTGTGTGTACATGTGTGCGTATGTGTATTGGGTGGGTGGATGGGTGAGGCACATGCATGCCACACTACACATGTTGAAGTCAGAGAACAACTTTCGGGAGTTGGTTCTTTCAACCACGTGGGTCCTGGGAGCTGCTCTCGGGGTATCAGGCCTGGCAGCCAGTGTCTTCGATACTGGCAATCTCACTGACTCCTTCAATAGTATCTTTTTTTGTTGTTTTGTTTTTCTCAAACAGGATTTCTGTGTGTAGCCCTGGGTGTCCTGGAACTCACTCTGCAGACAAGGCTGGCCTTGAACTCAGAGATCTTGCTGACTCTGCCCCTGGAGCTGGGATTAAAGGTATGTACCACCCCCAGCGGCCCTTCAATATCTTCCTGTGGTATGATGTAGAATTTCCCTAGCTCCTGGATTAGAAGCCAAGCCAACCACACTATTAACACAGCTGCTAGTTTAGCATACTGGATCTTTCCCCACTGTGGTTGTTTTCCTTCTTTCCCCAGGACCCATGATGCATTTCCTTGCTCCACCAGACTTTATCCTTTTCCCTCTATCTCAAAGAATTAAAACTCCCCAGTTTTCTCCCTACACGTGTGAGGATGTTTTCTGTTTCCTTTGGGTAATACGATGAGCCACTGTGAGGACCCAGTAATAGAAAGTGCTATTATACAAAAACAAATCACAAGGCTGGAGAGATGATGGCTCAGTGACCAAGAGCACTTGTTGCTCTTGCAGAGGACCCAGGTTCAGTTTCCAGAACCACAGTTCCAGAAGCGACACCCTTCTAACTTGTAACGCTTCTTGTGACCTCCACAGGTGTCGGGCATGCAAGTGGTGCACAATACATAGAGGCAAGCAAAACTTTCTCACACACAAATCTAAGAGATATTAAAACCTCAACAAACTACTATCAATTAATGTACAACAACAGCTTAAAGTACAAGTTAAAGCAGATTTCTTTCCAAAGAAACTAGCAGACAGGTATGGAGATAGAAAAGTGTCAATAGTAGTATAAACAGAATTGCTATGTTGGCCTTTAATCCCAGCATTCGGGAGGCAGAGGCAGGTGGATCTCTGTGAGTTGGAGACCAGCCTGGTCTACAAGAGCTAGTTCCAGGACAACCTTCAAAGCCAGAGAAACCCTGTCTCGAATTACCCCCCCTCCAAAAAAAAAAAAAAAAGAATTGCCTCATTGGAGCAAATATTCCTATCAGAGAAATGGTTTTGTGGATGAGTACTAAACACATGCGAAACTCTGCTGCCAGTTCTGTAGCACCCACAAACTAGATAAGGGAGTCCCAGCATAATTTGTCAACTTATACCTATAGGGAGGCAGGTGTCTTTCTGCAAGGTATTTTTTAACTTTTTTAAATTTGTGTATGTGTGGCACAAGCATTCCATGGTATATGTGTGTGTGTAGGTTAGAGGACAACTTACAGGAGTCGGTTCTCTCCTTCCACTACATCGATCTTGGGGATAGAACTCAAGGTTGTCAGGCTTGGTGGCAAGCACCTTTCCCCTCTGAGCCATCTTGCCAGTCGGTATTTTTAAAAATTCTTTCAAACTTTAATTTGGGATAATTTTCTAGCTGCTCCTTCGTCCTCTTTACTACTATTAATAACCAAACAATTATGGATAATTACAGTTAACAGCTATATGGCTTATTATGTGCTAAGCTGTACTCAGCAGTTGGTTATCTCATTTAATGAATCCTAAGCTGAGGCAGATATTCTTATCATTCTCATTAAAATGAAAAAAAAAATCCTAAAACTCCAGCATAAGTTGTCATAGAGATAGCAGCATGCAGAACCCAAACCCATGTACGTAATTGCTATGTCTGGAGGCTGCCACTAAAATGTTGGCGTCATCCAGAGTTCTATTCTGCATCCCCTATTTCATCAGTATTGAACACTGGTGTGCGCAGCTTCCTTACCCACCCACCCCTCTAAAAAGATTTTTATCCTAATGTTCTTAAGTCTTACTGATTTTTTTCATGTGCCCTTTAAAACTATTTTCATTTCCAAACTGCTGACTCAATCAGGTAGACCAAACATGCACACAAGGGGTTTACTAAAGAAGGCTCTTCTTAATGAACTCTATTGAATGGAATTGAATGACATTTTGTCACAATGTTGGTGGCATTGGATCTGATGGCTCAGATGGTGTCTCAGGCGCTGTCTGCTGTGCTTGTCAGCATCATGAAGTCATGCTAGTTTTCTCTGCTACCCTTTAGTTGCATTTCTGGTGGTGTGACCTAAGGTCTTAGACATGCTAGGCAGCTGCTCCTCCTCCTCCTCAAGTTGACACTCAGCCCTCCCTTTATAATTATAATTCATAAAAAACTATAAGAGTTTTGTGGGGATTTATTTGAAATTATGTTACAACTTATCAAACTTTCAACCTATCTATTTTATACCTGTGGGATTTCCTGGGCCATCGAGATGGTTCAGCAGGCAGAAGTGCCTGCCAAGCGGGTCTGAGGACCTGAGTTTGCCTCTCCTCCAGATGGAACAGTGGAAGGAGAGAACTGACTCTTCCACTAGTGTGTGTGTGTGTGTGTGTGTGTGTGTGTGTGTGTGTGTCTATATCTTTTGACCTGCTTTATTAGCTTTTGCTTCTTTGTTTTTGTTTTTTGAGATAGGGTTTCTTTGTGTAGCCTGGGCTATCCTGGAACTTGACCTGTAGACCAGGCTGACCTCAAACTCACAGAGATCCACTTGCTTTTACCTCCCAAGTGCTGGGATTAAAAGGCGTGCGCCACCATGACAGGCAGTTTTTGCTTAAATTGTTTTACCTGACACAACTAAGGCTCCAAGTTCATATTGCAATTTTTCTCCTTCAGTTTTGGAATCAACTATTTTGCTAAGAAAAATGGACATCATTTTTATGGATTCATTGCTCACAGATCCTCTCAAGGATCCTGCACAAACTTATATTTCTATATATAGAGATTGATCCCGCTATTACTAGCCTGCCAGAAAAGGTTCTCTAGGTATCTTCTTCAATGTATGTAGCTTCCATTTTCCTCAGTATAATTACCTACTGGACTAACACGCTGTACATAACCAGTACCCTCTTTATTCTCTCTGAAAGGCAGGTGTGCCCTCAGAGCACCCGTGGCTGCTTTCTCCGTGGACGCCGATAGTTCTGGCTGCCTTTCCTTCCCTGGTTGTATTGTCCTCTGACCTCAAGCAACTTCTATAAAACACGTTAAATTCATTCTTTTTTTATTTTCTTCATTCTCTCCCTCTTCTCCCTTTGCCTCAGTGTGGTAATTAGGGAAGACATTATTAGCCATAATTTTTGGGGAATTGGTCAAACCTTGATACATATGCTAAAATTACATATGCTTCAAATTCATTGACTTCACGGTAAGTATGGTTTTTCAGGCTTTTCTCTTCCTGTGATGTGAGAAGCAGTGGTGTAGTACGGAAAGGACTCGGTGTAGAATCGAATGAAGTTTAGTTCCAACAATTCTGAGACTGTGGCAAGTTACTCGTTTTCCTCAAAAAAAAAAAAAAAAAAGCTAGTACAGACCAGGGAGATTTATCTACGGCTTGGGGACAGTGAGTTGACTCACCTGCCCGTCTTCCCAAGCAAAAGTTACCTAGGGAGCTTTCTTGGCTTTTCGTGGCTCTTCAATGCTGACAGAAATTCAGCTTCCAACACTCGATTCGATAATGCCAACGTTCTTTCTACCGTTCATTTCCCTCTATTCGCCATTTGTGTTAGGTGCTTTTATCCTTCGGTTTATCACCTGACATCTGATTTGGCTTCATCTTTCACTAAAAAACAAAACAAACAAACAAACAAACAAAAAAACAAAGTGTGGGGTGCGCCGACGGAGACCGCTTGAAGGATCCTTTTTTTATTTTTATTTTTTGGTAGCATCTCTTCCCAGGGAAAAGGCGGTTCCAGTTCTCTCCCCCACCCTCCCCATCAGCAGGGGCGCTGAGCGGTCACAGCCGAGCCTCGTTATTTCTAAACAAGCGCCGGTTCTTCACCGCCCGTGCCTCCCCC